AAATGTTAAGTTTCGGCTCTGTTAGCTTTAAGCGTGTTAATTAGAATTTACTGGGCAGTAGAACGGTTAGTATTTATTTTCCAGAGGCCACTTCTGGCAAACTACAGTTGCAGTGCTGCTAGCAATTTTTTATAAAAGTAAGTAGTACGTTTTTCAGAGAAGTAAAATTTTATGGCAGAAGATTAGAAATTATAAGTTATTTAAAAGCCAAATGAGGGTGCTTTTCATCTTTTAGCCACAAGCAAGGACAGAGATTTGTCTGCGGTTGGAAGCGAGAATCATTAGCACAGCCTCTTACAAATGGTTCTTTTATCTATTAATCAGAAATAATTTTTTTCTACTAGCTGCTCTACTGCACTGAGTTCTTTTTGTATACTGTACTATATGTAAAGGGCCGAAGCAAATGCTAATTGTTTCTGCCATTTTGTAAAAAAAGCGTTGCTAGCGTATCCTGGACGAGCTTCAATTTCACAAAAAGCCATTTGTTCTCAGGATCAGGCATCGTTTTTCAAGACTCGCTTTCTAATTCTGCATTTTTTAAGTAATTTAAAAAAAATATATATGCCAATTTTGATGCTCTATTCCAAATATACAAGCAGATCCGATCGTCCTCTAAGATTCTTTCATTTGTTTTGATGGTGAATTAATACTGACATGTGTTGTGAACGAATTCTATGCAGATCTCGAGAGAGGGCGCCATTAACAACTTTGCTAGTGAGTGGTTGCTATTGGCGGTTTATCATCTACTTCTGAATGCCCCCATCTTTCGTGGAGTGTAAATTTGAAAGGGATTTTGACTTTAGCGAGAGCAGATGGATGTCTTTTTATGCGCCTAGTTTTCTTTGCACAGCCCGGATCAAATGTTTTACTCGACGTGGACGAACTTTTTTTCCAACTGACAAAATTTAACAGTATTGTTTTTGACGACTGTGCTCTCTTGTGCTTCACGCTTGTGTATATTTTTGACGATCTCATCTGCGATTTGGTGACTGACTGGAGGTCGGTTTTGTTCGTGAAAACAGGCTATTGGTTTTTTTTTACTTATAAATTGATGGCGTTTTACGCATTTCACTAAAAAATCTTAGTGTTGCAAACAGGCATTTCCGGTTGCAAGAACTTTGATATTTCGTATCTCCAGGAATTGCAAAAAAAAAGACAAGCGCAATTCCTGCAGAGGAGTAACGGTTTAAAACGCCTACAAAGAGCAGTGTGTAGTAGAAAAACGCTTTTTTCGATTGTGCCGGTTCGCAGCTTGCGATTGAGTCAAAAAATATACCGGAAACCTTTTTGTCTCGGATTGCAGTTACATCAAAAGCGCAATGTGTTTTTAGCTATCTGTCACTAAGCTGAAAAGCCCCGCAACC